TGACCTCTATTTATTAGACTCTCAATTTTCTTGCCTTTATCGGACCAAACCTTAGCCAACCTAAAGTACGTCTCTTTCACCACACTCGCTATTGGGAGATAACGTGTACCTTTTAGTACTGAATTAATGGCCTCAGCAAGGTTTGTAGTCATATGTCCGTATCGTCAACCTTCATCGTATGCTTGCGACCATTTTTCCCGCGGTATTTTTGAAGCCCACTTCCAAACATGCTGATCATCATAAAATACCTTCAAATTCTCCAATCTCTTATCAAAATTTGGTCGGCGTAGTTCGTATTCTGTTTCATAATATATTGTGTTAAACGTCAATTAAAAAAACCACATAAAAAATGCACAAATATTGAGAATAAAACTTACCCATGCTTACTATCTCCTTACGAATGTGTGCGTTATGAAACTAGTCGATACTATTCTTACCAATATGACGGATACAAAATATCGGATATGAATGCGGAGGTATCCAACGACTTCCTGGTCGTTCAATTGTTGCCAAAATACATGTTCCTCTATCGGATATCAAGCAAACTCCATCTTCTCGAACGATATATTTATGTAGATGTGTAAAAAAGAAATCCCAAGCCTCTGTTGTCTCTCCCTCAACAATGGCGAATGCAACTCGGAAGATATTTTGCTCACCATCCTACGCAACTGCCATCAAGAGTACATGTTTATATTAACCATATAACCACGTACCATTTACTTGGATCATACGTTTGCAAAATGAAAATAATTTAATACATGACTTGAATGCCCAAAATAATCTATGAAATATTTTTTCCCTGACACAAGTTGACCTTCTTCGTCATATACGGGCATGGTTTGAGACTTCACTATGGTTCCTAGGATAAATCGCTTAATTTCTTGTAGTAAATGTGGTAGCTCATTATACGATGTATCCCAATCTCCATACATCAGCTTCATTGCCTTCATCTTCGCATTCCACACCTTGTCGTATTTTAATTGATATCCAAATTGGCTTCGAATAGATGCAGCTAACACTGAACAAGAGATCCTTGGATCCTTGTCAACCATCGCCTTCACGTATTCACATATTACATCGGAGTCCAATAGTCAGTGGTCTTGTTCGATTGAGTTTCGCAAACATGTGTGAGGACCACTGTACCTTGTGATGACCCAAGCATCGTGCCTTTGAATTTTCGACACTCTAATTTTCCACTTGCACTCTGGGCCATATTTAACATATTTCACGTATAGGGTTTTCTGGTTGGACTGTGCAACATAGACATCAACATGGCATTTGATGCAATACTCTTTAATCGCCAGCGTAGCTTCATTTTTTCCTCTGAATTGCACCCCAACTAAAAATTCACCAGAATTTTCTAATGATTCAACCATTTGATACGGAGGTAAATGTGGCATGTCTGGGAATTCAGGTGCCCTCATCACATCATAATTTATCTCGTACATGTGAGGAGTAGCTTCATACGGTGTCGGAACATCATCAATGACCAAGTCAATTGCATCATCATCACCCAAAACGGTTTCTTCCGTTTCTTCATCTTCGCTTGAATCATCATGAATTTCTCCCCATCGATTTTCAACATCAATATCAACAGTCAATTCCGAATGGTGTATGTTTCTCGTCTCATACTCTACTGCTGCGGATGTCCCTTCGACTTCATTTCCACTTTCTAATAGTGACATAAAATTGTTTGGGAACATGTTTTTCGGATCCTCAAACTCACTATCGAAAGCCATTTCATATGGATTTCGACCCACATCTTTTGATGACCCAGGAACATCAAATATGTTACGCACATCAACAAATAACTCAATAATTGCTATATTGCTTAACTCATGTAGTCCAATCATGGTTCTATTATCATCATCTTCTTCAAGTGGTACTGCAACATATCTGACTGGGTTGGGACATATCATAAACCTGTACATCAAACCATCAACTGCACCTCGAATTTTTCTTTCTATTTTCTGCTTCATTTATACAAATGTGATGTCTCTTTTGAACATCATATTTATTGGTTTTTCAAACTGAAAAACAACTCCGACCTCATTTTCCATAATCTTTCCATTATAATAGACAATCGTGAAAAGTTGTTGCTCATTTTCTTTACACATAAAAATATATGTAAATTGTTAGTTAACAAATTTGATCATATAATTTCATAAATCATTAAATAAATAATATAATATACTATATTAACGGGAAAAAAAGTTTTTGATATTTTTAAAATTAAATATTAACGATAAAATAAAAAATATCTTAATTAATTTAATTAATTCTAACACAACAACAAAAAAATATCAAATTATTAATTAAACTAATAAACTATTTTTATTATAATATAACTTAGTTAAACTAACAAACTAAATAAGCAATAATTAACTTCTTTTTAAAAAATATAACTTCAGCTTACACAAACTAACTAATATAAGATTAAACACACTAACTAACTAATTAACTAACTTTTCATATAATATAATAACATATATAACTTAAACTAACAAACAAAGTAACATACTAATATAATATAACTTCAACTAACAAACTAATGATTTAAACTAACAAACTTTTACCCGATCTCTTCTTCTCCCTTTCTTCTTCTTCCTTTCTTCTTCCTTTCCTTCTTATCCCTTTCTTTCTTCATAACCGTACCCCAGACCTAATGACCAATATATAACCCTAAATTCACCCCATAAACCCTAAATTTGTTGCAATAATTCATCTATTTTTAATACTACTATTAAAACGTGAAAATCATGTAGGCATGCATGAGCAAAATAATGCTCCATATCACGCGACTATAATTGCTAAATCGACCCCATAAACTATAATTTAATCCCAACACAGACCACCTTTATCGCACTCCATATCACGCGTGCAATTTACATTAATTATTGGTGCAAATAACGCCGAATTTTTACGTTAAATTAGTGTTGAATTTCTTATAATAGGGAGACACTAAGTTGATTCATGAGGGAAGGGGGCCACCTCTGTCGTTTCATGCAGATCATGTTGCATTTCATGAATTATTGTTGCATTTGCAGCGCAAATCTGCAACAGCTGCAAGGAATCACGTCGGGATTGCATGGCAACCTATGTTGATTCATGAGGGAAGGGGACCACCTGTTTCGTTTCATGTAGATTCACTACAAGGTCACCCCGACTGCATGGCGACCTTCAAGCTTCGCCCTGACTGCATGGCGACCAATCTCACCCCTGTATCATTCGCACCATTTAAAGAATTAATCCTTAGAGAGCATAATCACGTGAATTGTTTTTTTTCACAGTATTTTTACGTGAGTTTAGCTATCAAAAAATAGTATTATTGTAAAAAAGTAATTATGTAAAACAATATTTTACTATCATAATATTATTTTTATATTATATTATATTTTATATAAATAAATATGATAATTATGAACATTATTTAAAAATATAAATTTATTATACTAATTATATTAATTATATATTAAATGTAATTTCTCCTCAAAAGTTAGGTAGTATAACGATTAAAATAGTTTTATGAATTTTAATTCAAATATTTATAAATTAATATCAAAATTTAACTTCAAAAAAATATATCACATGGATAATTTGATAAAATATGTATCTAATTAATCTTATATTCCTCCAACCAAACACTGTAATATTACAATCCTGCTAAACAAATCAAACAAGATAATACAATATTCTTATAATAATGTTACATTCTAATAATATTATTCTCAAAGATAATCTTACCTTCTATAAATCAAACGCTCGTAAAGGTTAGGGTTTTGAAATTGATCAAGGAAATGGCAGGTGAAGGGGCCATGTTCAAGTTTCTCAAGCCCAGGTGCCGTCCACACCCTACGGAAATACAAGCCGCCATGTGGGGCGTCGCTGCCACCACCACCGCTCTTTGGATCGTCCAGGTTTATCTATTCCTCTCTTTTGAACAATTATTTCTGTATTCTTGTTAGATGCATATGAGTATCACTTTGATTGGTTATATAGGGATTTCCTCGAAAGGAAAAAGGATCCGTCTTTTTAATCGTCCGCACTTTAAAATCTACGCCTCGGAATAAATCTTTGATTCTATTGATGTGATTTAACGGTTGATGCTAATGATATGTTATCTGTTTTTTTTGGTCCACAACCATTTAATGCGAGTATCATAATGAATGCTGGGTTAAAAAACATTGATACTTCGTTAACTATCAACTTGGTTAAAAACAAATCGAGGTTTTTATAATCATTTTCGTTTATCTTTATTGCTTAATCACACGTTCCACGCATTTTTTATGGCTAAGCCCTTATTAAAGAAGAAAAACTGGGTGTTTATGAGTGTGCTTGACGGTGAATCTTTCGTTGGATATTAAAGTTATTAATGAGTTTTCGAAAGTTTGAAAATTTCATTTTCCTTTGCCTGCCAGCCATTTGATTGGTTGAAGACCTTTTTCGAGAAACAAGAGATCCGAGTAGAAGAACGAGTCTTCAAGATCTTGTACGCGTTTTGTTTGATCAGATTGCCTATGAGGCAGAGTGGAATTTGAATAATAATGTCGTCTAACATTCTGGTTTGTTGTTGCAAGAATGAGATCTCTTTATACGCACAATTTCTGAGTTGATGAATTCATTATTATTTTTGTTGAGATTATGATTGGGATGTAAATCTAAAGGGTATGGCCTGCCAGAAAGTGTACACATTTTGCCTACTCAATGATCCGTAACCATGATATCACGTGTCACAATCAAAAACACGATAATTGAACTCGAATATTATTTGTTGAATCTAATTCGAATAATGGATTTTCAAGTCCATTGAAAGAGTTAATATCTACAATCATTCATTCATTCATTCAAATCTTATACGAGTTTGTGATGTTGTAATGTTGTAAAAGAACAAATAAATGGTATTCATTACTATCCAAAGCTGTACCTTTGTAATCCTAATATTTAGCTTTGCAGGTGTTCCCTAATCAGCAGATAACTTAAGAAACAGTTTGAGTTGCTTTGATGCAAAGCTGCATCCCTATATCGTTAGAAAACGCTTTCTTTTTCCTTTCCTGCCACAATTCCTACTACACTTGGATTGATGGGAAAACCCTAAAAATTATTAGCTGAACAAAGGAGAAGCAATGAGAGGAGAAAGGAAGGACCTAGCAACAATGCTATTCAATTTCACTGATGCGCTGTACTGTTACAAAAGAACCAGATCAATGCTATTCAATTTCAGCCCATACTGTCTTTTACATGAATCTCCCATCATAATCGAGTAAGACATATCTGCTCTCACATAACCATGGTTTACAAGATGTTGGATTTCAATATATTCTTAATTCTTGCATTCATCGCATCTCTGAAGGTCTCCACTTTGCACGGTGGACGTTCTGGTTCCAACCGGTTCATAAGGAACGACATGATTTCCATTTTGAAGTGAAAACGTAAGTACCTTAGAACAACCACCACATTTTAGCTGATGGAACCTCCTTTTGGAAAGCAGAAAATCACCCGGCAGCTCCAGTGGTCTGAAGCAATGATAACAAGTTACAAATGGTGCTCCACCGGCAGTTGGCTGGCGATGTCGCCTAACCGAGTAATGTTTGTCTCTTGAATACCTCTTCAATTCGTGATCTCTAGTACCAGATATCATTTCATGGCTCCAACTAGAAAAATCAGACTCCAAATATCTGTGGGGACTAGAGGGGTGATTGCTGTAGCATTTATAACAAGGATGACCCGATTGGGCTCTACAATATCCTTGGGCTTGTCGAAACATTGGCGGAGGCAACTGTTCTGAACGTGGCCACCTTTGAGGATGGAAGAATGTACAGGAGTTGTCAATCTCATGCGTCGGATAAAAATTTTCTTCCTGGGGATAGTAATATGTAGGACAATGCTTTTGCCTCCAAGGTACATCAATGGAAGCCCTTCCTCTGGTCTTTCTTCCATTCAGATTGCATGTTTTGCTAATCTGATCCTGCAGTTCACGCACCATTCTTAACATTTTCATGTTTTCTTGTTCACTGTACTCAGGGAACTCGTCATGCAATCCACGTGAAGGACCGGCATTTTCGTATCCACGCAAGGACGCCCTTTGAGAGAAAGGATGTCGAAATGGATATTCATCTCTCACTAATTTTGTCCAGCTTCCGGGTGGACGCTGATGCAACACTGGCTCTACTGCTTCATCTCGATGCCACTTGCTGTATTTTGCTGTGCTATAAGGCTTCTTATTCGACAAATCTGATGAAAAATTTCTTGCATTACCATTCATCAAGCCTTTGGCAGGCAAGTTATCTTTTCTTTTCCTTTCTTCGCGAACAAGATAGTTAGCAGCCTTATAATTATTCTTGAATGAATGTATTTGCTGGTCTAGGAATTGATCATCCATTCTATCATAAGAAGAGATACTGCCATCATAAGCATGAGAGGTTCGTGTGGTAGTGGATTTAGACAAATATCCAAGATCAGGATCACTGAGCTCTGAGCAAGGGCTGACAAAATCCGAAGTTTCAAAGGACTCTGTAGGGCTTACGTGGTCGAACACACGATTTTCACTTCTCTGAGGTTGCTCCATAAGTTCATTCGGAGAAGAGAAAAGATTATCAGATGACATGACTTCCCCTGCTGCTGCACTAGCAGTAACAGTTAAATTACTCTCTCCTGCAGCATATGGGTCGTCGAAGCTTCGGTCTTGGATATTGGAATCGATTTTGTTAGACTTTGATTCCGAATAAGAACCTTCTAACTGCAATGTTTTGTCATTTGCCTCTTCTACCATCAACTCCTCATTCTCATGGTGAAGTTCTGTGGGTGAAAAGCATTCAATGGAAACTCCTTGCTGCTGAACATTGCAATCTTCTGAAGATTCCAACTGTAACTGTCCACTTCCTTTTTCCCGCCCATCATTTGATCCGTTTTCATCCAGATTTCCACATTTTTTATCAGTATCTCGGGACGTTTTTCGATCATTACAATGCCCTTCAATGGATAAATTATCATCAAGATCCCCAGATTGAGAGCCACTTTCTTGACTCAAGTGAACCTTCTGTGGTGTTGAGCTGCTAGATTCTCCATTTTCAGATACATGAACCAATTTATCTGAACCAGAAGCTCCTGTTTCTTGCAAGAAGGACATGCTTTCTACGATGGCTCTTCGGTTTTTAGCTTCAAACAGGAAAAAACTCAAATAAGGAGTAGAATCAAGAAAGTAGTCTTTCATAGTCCATGATGATACCCTACCATTGTGAAAGACCTTCTTTATCAAGTAGCACCAGGTTTAAGATTCGAATTCTAACATTTGCAAGTTTCTTATTACGAAAGATGATTACCTACAAGAACTGTGTCACATCCACCACACTTGTATACCGGAATGTTTTCGACTTCTGGAAGAAGTAATCGGCATTTCGGACATCGAACCAATCGAACTCTAGGAGTTGTTCCACCACCCATATTCATCCAGATCTGTAGATATAGCCCAATCTGCTGTGATCGAACTTGTGCTGTTAGTTGTGCGACAGTCGATTGTGCTTTGCAGTAAAGCAAAAATCATCCACAGTCTGCAAACAGATGGTTGAAAAACAATGAAAATTCTGGATAAGATGAATATCAGCCAAATTGGATTGTATTGAAGATGATATATGATGAGCAGATACAATTAAGGACAATTAGGGAATCAATTTGCTGATCATACATACAAATGGCGAAGAAGAACAGATGGAAAGAAATTCATTAATTGATCTTACAGATTAACCAAAAGAAGAAAGATAACACTGGTGAGTTTTAGAACTTGAGGGGTTCAAGTCAAGTAGAATTATGCGTCTAACCGCGTTCAGATTAGAGCAGAAAATGCACGTAAAAGATTCTGGTAAAAGAAAAGTAAAGAACACCCCAATTGTAACGTGAACAGTCAGCCGATGAAGCTGAGTTGACGGAATAAAAAAACGTAAGGTTGATTAGAGGAAAAAGGTTAGCCAAATTAGGAAGAATGAATATTGAAGTAATGGAAAGCGTGTTTTAATGGAAGAAGAGAAATGCAAATGCAAAACAGGGAGGCAAACATGTAGAGAGTCGGTCGGTCTTTACATGGAAAAACTCGAGGGCTCTCATAATTTCGTGGTGTTTAAGGCTACCCCATTTCTTCCTATTGCTTCACCTCTGAATAAGGGGGAGACTGGAGAGAGAGAGATTGAAAGATACACACGTGTCAATAATTTAAGGAACAAAACTCCTGTCCACAATGTCGTTTCATTTTATATTTCTCGTTAAGCGTATGAACTAATGTGGCTGCTTTTGAATTTTGCGGCCGGCGTTGCGTTTTGTCGTTCAATAAATAAACCAATCGCCGTTTTACCAACCCAACTCAATTCAACTCTTATTCCTCCTTGTTCTTTTATTTTTGAACACCAGTACTAGGATTATTAATAATGTAATAGTGATGATTAATAATATAACGTAATTATATTTGAACATTTTCTAAAAACGATATGATTTATGATTTTTTTACGTCTAATGTGGTCTTTAAATTGCAAAATAATAATAATAATAATTCGGTCATTTCATCAGTGAAATTGAACATCGATTTTTACAATATTGATTTTTTTATAATTTTATCTTGTCTTAGTCATTAAGTTAACATTTAATTTATATAAACGTCAATGTTTTAACAAAAAATGATTATTTTAAAACATATAAATATTAAGATGATCATTTGTAACTTTTAATAGTCGAAAATTTAACCAAAACAACATCTTATGTCGGAGATTATTTTTATGACTCTTAATATTTAAGGGACTTAATAAAATAACAACTTATATTCTAATGACTATTTTATATTTTATTCAATCAATGTCTAAAGGTCCATTAAAGTATATATAATAGAAAGTCAGACAATACAGGTTGGAGATTGGGACTTGGTAGTGGGAAACAGAGAAATGGAGAAGTAGTGGCTTTTTGAGTGGAGTGATTATCATCTATAATTCAAATTAATTTGACTTTATCTTATTTATTATTAAATATTTTTTTTAAATTTAGTTATAAAATATAAAAATATTATTAATAGATGTTAGATGTAATGATAAAATATTATATTTGGAGAGAAATTAAAATAAAATTTTAATAATACCATTATTAAAGAAGTAACCGTAAACTTTAATATTTATCATTTATATGAATGATATACTAAAAAGTAAAGGTATGCCAATATCAGGATAATTTTTTTTATGATGAAATGTAATTTAAATCTTTTTTTATACACTTTGTAATTTGAATCTCAATCTACTTCTAGAAATCAATACGAATGAGCTTTTGACATGTTCACCTACCCATTGCATAGCCGTTATGTATTATTTTATAATTTTATTATCTTTATGCACGAGCTTTTAATTGTTATTTATTAAGCTTCCTAAAATTGTTTAAAAAATTATAAAATAATACATAACAATTATTATCAATTTTTAGATATCTATATTTTAAAATTTAATTATATTTAAAAATTGTATATTGCACGAAACAAACAACTTCAATGATTAACAGATTTATTATTATCTCTAAAGACCTCATGTTGGAGCACTATGTATATAGAAATATAAACGCTTATTATAAAATGATTGAAAATATTTAGGTGGTGTTTGTTTTTGCAGAGGTAAAAGGTCTGCAGTGTGCGGACCACATCTGCAGCAGAAGATATAAACCAAAAGTCTGCAGTCTGTAAGAAGAAAACTGTTTGTTTTTTAACGTCAGCAGACTGTTAAAATAAACTGAAATATAAATAAACTGATTTTTTAAACTTAAAAATACTGAAATTTAAATAATTTTAGTTTTATAATACTGAAATTTAAACAATCCATACAACTACAATAATAAATTTTTTAAAATAAATCAATCAATATTTTAAAATAAATCAATCCATATTTTAAAATAAATCAATCCATATTTTAAAATAAATTTTTCCATATTTTAAAATAAATCAATCGATATTTTAAAATAATTTTTTCTATATTTTAAAATAAATCAATCCATATTTTAAAATAAAATTTTCCATATTTTAAAATAAATCAATCCATATTTTAAAATAAATCAATTCATATTTTAAAATAAATATTTAAAAATAAATCAATCTATATTTTAAAATAAAATTTTAAAATAGATTTAAATAATTTTAATTTCTTTGAAGATGTTTAAAGATCTTTGAAGATATAAAACCATGTATGCACCAAAAAGACCTCTTGCAGACGTTAGAAAAACTTATGTCTTCTAAAAAAACAAAAGGTCTGCAAAGTTCAATGTCTGTGCGTGGTCTGCGCGGCGCAGACATAAAAACTTTGCAGATCTTGCACAGTAAAAACAAACACCACCTTAGACATTTATTACCTAATATTTATAATAAGAAAATCATATATTTATATGGATTAATTTATATGCTTGTGAAGTATTAGGGGTTTATTATTGTTTTGTGTGTGAACGCCCAGCGTTCTCCACCAGCAGCGGGATCCACTTGTCTCTGTAGACTTTGCCTCCAATGACCGGCAAGTGAGTTTAGTCGCCAAACTAACCTCCACCACAAACAGAATATTGCAGTCACATTAATGCAAACACAAATGATTTAGAATCGCGTAAACGTTGAAAGGAAACTGCTAAACACATTTCTTTAGCTCTTTCTGTCGAACTCCTTTTTTGTATCATGAGCAATAAATAAAAGTTTAATACACTTTTAGGTCCTTAAATCTACTTCAAATTAAATTTTAATGTTTTAAAAAAAATTCATTAAAAATAGGTTTTAATATTTTCTCCGTTACACTTTTAGATATACACCGTTAAATAACACATCACGTCCATATTTAATATATATATATATATATATGATATTTTATTTCTTTTAAATATTCAAAAAATATAAACATGACATGTGTGACTTAACGGAATTTTTTTTAACGGTATGCACCTAAAAGTATAACGAAGAAAACATCAAGGACATATTTTAACGAAAAAATCTTTAAACATTAAAATTTAATTTGAAGTGTATTAAGCAACAAATAAAACTTGATTCAATTTAAAAAATCAAATTTAAAATTATTCGAGTCAATTTAAATTAGTGATTTATATTTCAAATTTAAATTGAATTCAAAATATAAAAATTTGAAATTTTGAGAATTAAATTATATATTTTTGTCTTTAGCTTTAACTAATTGATTTAATCATTTTGTGATTTTGTCCACAATTTTTATGTTTCTTTGATTACTCCGTCATTTTATGATCAAATTTAAACCATATAATCCTCTATCATTGTAAAATATATGTGTGGCTTCAATTTTTTTATAACAAATTTATTGTTTTCTAAGTTAATCATTCAACTTTACATTTTATTTAATTTGATCATTTGACTATAATTCTATACAATTTTTTTGTCAATTCCCTAACTCTTTTCATACTACCATCGATAATATATCTTCAAAATCACTTCTTAAAAAAATAGCATTGTTAATATATTATATAATTTAGGTAATAGTTCATTTATTAAATAACATTATAAATTTTATGCATACCATATATTGTTAGAATCATTTAAATTAAAATCAATCAATACAATAATATTATAAATTAAATTTTAATAAAAATTAGATAAATATATTTGATTCGAATGAAGTCAAATTTTATAAATTCAAAATATGCTAACTTGAAGACAATAATGAAAACATTACTCAATTTTTATTTTTCAATCATTTTAAAGCACAACAAAATCAACATATTTTAACGTTCAAATTTAAGCCAAGGAGAAAATCATAACCCAGGACCACCCCGATATATATAATCGAAGGCTTAAAGTTAATCTAAACATGCACCAAAATCACCCAAAACTTCCCATAGACAGTATCAAGACTTGTAACTATACTAATACACAAATCAATCAAGCTCATGAACCCATAACTGCATGTCGTTTGTGCTTGAGAAAAGCCTGAAATTCTTTATAACCACTCCTGTAGTGCTCCAGAGTGAAAGAGAGCTGTCTTATTGCCTCTCTTTTCTCCTCAGCCACATCTAAGATCATGATTCTCTGCCTATCCACTTCCTTCTCAAGGTCCTTTATCTTCAATTTTAATTCATCCTCTAGATTCTTAGCATGATTTGTTCCTGAAATTAGCTGCAGATGTTCCCTGCTTAATTGCTGTAGATGCTCCTCCATTTGCCGAATATGCAAATCTCGGGAACGAGCCTCGGCTACAAGAGTGTTTACCTCTGCAGTAAGACCATCTTTCTCTGCCATGAGCATATCATATTTCAATTTCAATTTGTTAAAGTCCTTGTTCAGAGCTTCCAAGTGTACACCTTTGTCATTAAGTTCTGCCCACAGCTCACTGATCTGACCTTGCAACACGGTCTCTTGAACACCATACAAATATTTCATTTCCATCTTCTCTGTTTCACATTGCCTTATTTTTTCCTCCAATGTTCTACCGTTTTGTTCCCATTCCTTGAGACTAGCCTCTAGGAGGGTCTCTTTTTCTAACAGACCAAAACTTTCTGACTGGAAACTTGCTTTTTGCATTGAGAAATTATCCTGGGCATCGCGTAATGCACCTTTTAATTCCTCAGCTTCATGACCACGATTAGATAGATCGTTTTTGTACCTCAAATTCTGCTCCTGTAAGTTCACAACCAGCCTCTTCTCTATGTCCAGTTGGGCTTTCAATGTTGCTATCTCTTCTCGAGTCTCATGCTTCAACATTGCAATCTCTTCCTCTGATGCCTTGATCTTTTCTTTACTTCCAGCAAGCTCCTCCATCAGCCTCAAAGCTTTGGAGTTGGAGTCTGAAACATGAGCTTCAAGCTCAAGTATATGTTTTTGTAATTCAAGTGCCTTTCCCTTCTCCAACTCAATATCAGCTTCCCTCATTTTCTTGTCTCTCTCCAATGATTCAAGTTGAACAGTCATGTTCTCAGCAAGGACAGAAACAGACTCACTCTTCTTAAGCTCTGCATTCAACCTGATAACCTCTTCTTCTGCAAGCTGGAGTTTAAGGTTGGAATTCCTTAGCTCTTCTTCACACTTGGTGAGTCTTCCATTCAGTTCTTCATAGCTTCTGTTTCCCCCAATAGTTGAATTACCATCTGCATTCTCTTCATCAACCACCTGTATCTTTTCCTTTATTGTTGAGAGTTCACTTCCTTGCTCAATTACTTTATGATGCTCTACACCGTTATCAGCATCCATCACTGAACTCAAGTAGATGTTGATAGACGAGCTGAAAGATTCAGATTCGGAATCTGATGAGAATGAAGATGATTCAGTCACGTCCTTCGATGACAGTTCAGAATTACCACCACCAGAACTGCAAGATGAAGTTTGTTGAACAGACTTGTGTATACCCATCTTTTTATCAGGTGTTACCATAGAAGAGTCTTGATTCAAACCGCCATCAGCGTCTCGAATTAGGGTGTCAGATGGTAGGCTTTTGCGCAATTCACCAGTCAAATTATCATAGCGCTCAGCCAGAGACTGATAAATGCGGCGGAGTTCCTGAACTTGGACAATCACCTCAGATTTAATCTGATAATGCTCTTCAATATTGTCTTCCACCAATTCCATTATTTGTTTAACATTCTGGTTCATCTCTGCAGCCAAGAATCTTACATCATTTACAAGTCATGGGATCACTAGATTATAGTTAAATTGGGTATCAAGAGCACCAACAAAAATTTATAATCAACCCAATTGAAGATATGCTTAACATATGAGATTTAAACCAAGAAGAAAGAATAATTAACCATAAAATCAAGAATTTCAAAACTAGGGCTGCTTAAATAATTAACGATAAATGCAAGAACTTCAAAAGTAGGGTGCTTACCTTTGGATTTTTCAGCCAGCCATTCAGAATTCTCAGGATTGAGATGACTATCCCACCAACATGATTTCATGTTCTTCGAATCAACCTTGTTCATATTTACTTCTATCTATCTTCAAACAATGTAAACAACGCTGTATGAGATTTCCCAGAAGTAAACTTGTAAAGAGAACAAAGTAAAAAAAGTTCCAAATCAAGAGTAACTGGAAAAACTAGGACTTTAGAATGTAACTATGGATCAGATTGAAGGATACAATTGTTTTTCAATATCATAATCAACAAACTTTGTCAACCCTCTAGAAAGCTAGAATCCTTTTTAAAACTGGGATCAAATCACCAGTTTCTTCGGCAATTTTGATAGAACCTTTTGTCTTTCTTAGAATTCTCGCATTTGCTTTCCAACACAGTAAACACAAATTGCAGAAGTTAAACAACATATGAAGTGCAGATGCTTGTGCTGATCATTTACCACAGTACACAAACATGAACGAAAAGCTCAAGGGCTTAGAGGGGAGAAAATTAATTAGTAATCAGAAATCCATCAGGCAATTTAGATGACTAAATTCAAATTTCAGAGGAAAAAAATGCTCAAGGGTTTGTTAAAGCCCAAAGTTTCATTATGGTCTTATTTATGAAAAGAGATTTCAAGTGGAAAAACAAACACCAGAGATTGACCTCTTAGAATACCCACAGGTCACAACTTCAGCCTCCTGTACAAGCCTTACATTTCCATCATAGAAATTAGGATAGAAATACAAGAGGAACCCAGTTCTTGTTTTAGAATTCTCTATTTCAAGTTCCAAAAAAATCAAATAGAGTAACTGAAATAGCAAGAAATATAAACTAAAATTAGAAAGAAAGAAAGAAAACAAAACAAAACAAATAATCAGCACAAAAAATCGATTTAAAATAACTAGATATAGATCCAAAACCAGATTGATGCAGAGAATCAGTACAATACTATGAATGCCAACATGCAAGTAGTAATTGATTATAAATTCAGGCGAAAAGGCAAATATGTTCACAGACCTTAGTGAAAGAATGAAAGAAGCAGGGAATTGAGGGTTGTGAAACTACACTTGGAGCATAGTTTTGAAGTAATCGGAGAGGATATATACAAACAAATGGTGATAAAATGAAGAGAAAGGACAAGGAGAGAACAAAGCTTTCCCTCTATAATTTCATCAACAATTGAAAATACAAAGACAATCAGTTTTGGGGTCTTCCCTAATTATGTATTATTGCCGCTTCCTTCCCTTTCAAATTTCCCTCTTGCTTTTTTGAAAAAAATAATTTCAAACCGTAAAATAAAATTGATTTATTTATTTGTCTCCATTTTTGCAAATTATTATTTTATTGAATTTAGATTTTAATATCCTAAATCAAGTAACGATATCTCCATTAAATATTTTATTTTGGAGATTTTTTTAAAAATAATTTATAAAATAAATTTGAATTCAAAATAATTTTTATTGGAAGTTAAATACAAAAGTGGCGGGAAATATAAGTATGGTGGAGCAGGTGAGGTGGACCATCTTCTGATATTTTAGCATTTGGAAATTATTACAACCGTCTCTGAGTTGTAACCGCAAATGGGCAAATGGCCTAACATCCTATCATCGGCTTCGGCCTCTAAGAATCCTAGGTAGAGAAATTTCAACTTCATTCTTTTTTTTTAATTGTAATAGCTAGTATTATTAAAAAAATAAAATATCTAAAATTAAAATAATAATTTATAATATTATCGTAAATTTAATACATAATTTGAATTTTTTATAACATTGAAACTAATCATTTTAGACCATATAAAAATCATACATGAAAAATATTAAAACCCCAATACATGAGTAAAAAATAAATACTCTTAATAAGTTGTTATGCCATCTAATCCAAAAATTTTATATTATTTGTTGATATAAAAAAGTTACGGTTGTGTTTGTTAATATTATTCATTTATAAATATGTACGAAATTGAACTAATCTCCACAATAAAGGGTCTACTGACGCTTTCACTCAATTTGCTCTTACCAAATATTTTTGGCTTAATATAAAAAATAAGTGTTTAAATTATATTATTTTTTTATTTAAGTGTCTAAATTATTTTTCGGTTAATTTATATGTCTAACGTTATAAATGTTATCATTTCAGTGTCTCGATCGTAATGACTGTTAAAAAATTTCGTTAAATGACATATGTTGTATTCGAATAATTTTTAAGATTTTTTTAAAACTTAAAAATAAATTATTATATTAGGTGAGTTGATAGTGATTAATTTATATATATGTATTAATTTTATTGTAAAGTAACTCATTTAAAAAAATAGTGGGACTAAAATCGAGCATTTATATAAATTATTAAATCAAGGTTCATCTCGAAGGCAATACCATCTTGACAGAAAACCAATTGATATGCATAATCCCATAGATTTTGGTAAGAAAGGGACAACTCGGCTTACGTAATTGCCTGATGAGTTGCTTAGCATCTACTGCACGAATGGATGCCATCACCGTCCAATCCATTTTTCAGCTTCTATCTCTTTCTTTCCATTATTAATTCAACATGCTCTTGCCCTACCTTCACACTTCTCATCAGTTGCAGGCTTATCTTTTGCAAGTTGGTTGTTGCAGCTTGTAGATGTCTTTCGAACCGTGAAATTAGCCAAATCTTTGTTATTATGCTTTCTACGAACTGAACATATATTCCATTCAAACAATTGCAGAAAACAATTTTAGTATAGTTCGTAGTTATTCCAACTATTACAAAATTAACATGATTTAAGGTTTAAGCCCAATCATTAGATAGAAAAATGTTCCTTACTTTCTATTCACCTTTCTTCCGACCAAACAGACTATTAGTAGTCAGGATGGATACACAAACACACAGATGAAGAACAATCCGCATTTATTTTACCGAAAATGATCCAAATTCATTTATTCCACGACTCAACAGTCGGATATTAATCAAATCCCAATCAAAAAAACACTGTTCACATTGCATCCTACCTCAAAAGGTTGGGTCTAAAATGAAAAAGCTCAGAGTTATTCTCATAAAATGGAGGCTTCTTGTGGTTTCAATACCTGTGTTCCAATTTCTCCTTTTCTTTGAAGTTCTGGACATATCTGCACCCAGTTACACAGAACACATAAGTAGACTACGAAGACACACGAAATCAATAACTCAGATTGTGTATAGCAAAATGTGAAATCTATGCATGCATGCCAATTCCAACAGAGGGTAACATTGATCACAAAGTACTCTCATGTCATGCAGATATGCCAGAGAGATGATGTTAAAACTGTCGCCCTGAACAAGCAAGGGCAACTCATTCCATGCTACACAATAAGACATTCGAAGGGAGCAGTCAGTCCTGACAAAGTACAACAAGATGTAATTCCATGCTTGCAGAAATGTTTATGATGAATGTAAATATAACTAACAACAACAAACTACTTTCTTATGCTTCAATAGTAAGACCTCAAATCTAGATAATCATTTACAACATATAGTGGCAAGAACTATAAGTTAGAATTTACATTTTGTCACACTGAAATTTACCATATCTACGGATATATCAGTGTTAATCTGCTTTTCTTTTTCCTTTTTTCTTCACTCTAGTTCCTTTGAGAAGAAAAATAACAGTCAAAGAATGTGAAAGCACTTAACATAAGCGTTACACTTTATGTAGATGAAAGCTGTTAAAGTTTAAACTAAATGAGAAGCAAATCAAGTAACAGAGTGTAGTTATCTTCTTCATTCAATAAAACCCTAAAATCAGAATTCCAAAATTTGATAGTGTACTGATTTAAGATGTTACTCTAACAAGAATAGAGACAGTATTTTACCTATATAAACAAATGAATAAATCATACGGGGAGAACATTACGTTGATAACAATATTCTGATATAAATGACGTTTATCCTTTACACTAATTTCACCCTCATGATGAAAAGCAATTGGTTACGATTGAATTCCAAATATAAGAAAGCACAAACGATGAAATCAACAATAAAATCCATCAAACAAATAGAAGCAACTCTAACAGGCAGAATAGATAGATGATAGATCCACAATTAAAGGAAACGAAAAATATGCAGGAAACCCTAATTAAAAAAAGGATAATAAATATATTATGATAGAAACGGAAAGTACGTGTAGGTTCCAACGAGAGGGGAGAGGAGAAGAGTAGCGCTGATCCAATTCTCGGAGACCTTGTGGGAGATCTTGCCCGGCAGATCCTTCCACAGCCCACTCATTATCTTTTGCTGGAACGGAGACAAAGCGTATACCACCGCCCTCATCTTCACCGGCTGTTTCCCCATTTCCTTGCTTTCGGCTCAAGGTTTTTCCTTTTCTTTCCCCGTCGATTATGTGATTTGAGGCGTAGTTTAAATTATAGGGAGAACTGTAGTGGAAAGCCGTGCGGTGCTTGCCCGGGCCTAGGCCTTGGTCAGTTAACCAAACAAATTACGGGGTTTGATTTGATCCAGTATGTACTTAATGAGAATAATCGTAATCAATTTAGGCTTAATTTTTAGGTTAGAAACTTAAAATATATGTTTTATATTTTATTGGCTTAATATAAAAATAAGTGCCTAAACTATACTTAAAATTAATTTTTGGTGCTTAAAGATTTTTTCATTAAAAATAAGTGCTTAAAGTTTTTTTCGTTATACTTTTAGTAAAAATCGTTAAGTGACACGTGTCATGTCCAGTTTTTTTAAAAAATATATTAATATTTTAAAAATAAGTGCATAAACTGTAACCCCTTAGACCCGGCCTGGACGTTATACCCAAATCTAAACGGTCACATATCTCATTCAGAAGTTCTTTTTATATTTAAAACAACGTTAAAATCCATATAACAGTATAATATGAAATTTATCCATAATAAGGATCGATTCATACGATAAACATATATATATATATACATATATCAGAAAACCATATGAAACATTTACGGGAAAAAATACAAGTAATACAAATATATCAAAATAGTAGCAAAACACGTGTCACCAAAGTATAACAAAAAGCATATAGAGATATTTTATATGAAACTACATATGTTCTCATTAAAAAATAAGAATGTTTTGAGGTATTCTTATATTTAAAGAAATAGATGTCACAAATCAAAAAAGAAAGAAAGAAATAGATGTTCAATCATGATGGAATGTAGAAATTAGAAAGTTCGATTATCAAACTGAATCTTTCTAAAGTTTAATGCTTAAACAGAAATAAGATCAAAATTGAGTGATGAAATTTAATCCATAATCATATCATTGGTCAGTCAAAAGATAAAGAAGGATAGAAGTGAATGTTTTATGGAAGGGTACACTCTGATGTGTAAATGTTTCATCCCCATATCCTGGTAGGTGTTATCAATTATTTGACATGGAGTCATGGGCCAGTCTTGTTCCGGATTTGGTATCCTGCGCTTCAGACAAGCAATGCTGTAAATGGCTTTTACCTTTTGAATCTTGATAAAAATCACCTTCGAATTTCTTGTTTTCTTTTTCCTGCTATGATCGTTGATCCCATACCCTCAATTATGAGTGCAAGAGGATTGTTGTTTCGGTATCAGTGCCAGTTTCAGCATATACAGAATGGGATCGCCATTACCAAAAACACCCAGAGTCTTCAAACGTATAACGTTTCCTGTCATCCCAATTCTAGTCGCCGCCGTCCAACTCTTATGACCACAGCCACCCATGCCTTTTCTCTCTCTGGCTCCGGCGCCGGCGCCGAATACTCTTCAGCAGGTGCGTTAATTTCCTTCCTTTTTTCCTCTTTTTGCTGCTGCTGCTGCTTATTCACACCGATTTTCTTAAAAAATGTCGTTAAGCAGTTCTGTTGTTTCCTCAGAATCACTTTATGTTAGTTTATTTAACGTATACTAAAGTCTCGAACCATACTATTGAAATTCTTAGGAGAATTAGTGGATATTGGGAGGAAGGAGAGGAAGAAGAGAATAGCAGGCATTGACCAAGATGAACTGTTGGATCCAAAACTCTTAGCTGATCCAGACAGCTGCTTTTGTGAGTTTCAAGGGGTTGAAATTCATCACAAGCTTCATGACCCAGAGTTGCATTCTTCAGATAACTCCAATGCCCAAGACCAGTCTCAGACACCTACCTTAAAGCTTGGTCTTCCTATGATTCTTCTACACGGTTTTGGAGCATCTGTTTTCTCATGGAACAAAGTTATGAAGCGTTTGGCTAACCTCACAGGCTCCAAAGTTCTTGCCTTTGATCGACCCGCATTCGGCTTAACTTCAAGACTCGACACTTTTGGGACCAAAGCTAATGATGTGAAACCTCTGAATCCTTACTCCATGGCATTTTCTGTGCTTGCTACCTTGTACTTTATCGATTTCTTGGCTGCAGAGAAAGCAATTCTGGTGGGGTATGCCATATGTGTCTTTCTCGTCTTTGTTTTCTTGTTTTCCATTGATACATTCATACAAAAGCCTCTGCTTCTTCAATTTAAATCCTTGTCTCTTTTGACAAAATGGACTAATAGTATAAATTGTTCAGGAGAGATTGTTTCTGTCTCTAAGTTCCACTAATACCACTTTTTTTGGGCATGCAAGGCATTCTGCTGGTTCTTTTGTAGCCGTTGATGCATATTTTGAAGCTCCTGAACGAGTTGCTGCTTTGATCCTTGTCGCCCCAGCAATATTGGCCCCTCGTGCTATTCCTAAGCCTAAGGTTGTCGAGACTAAAGGAGACGGATCGGACTCGAATAATCTACCAAAGACGAGGTTTGAGTTTTTCGGAAGGCTGTTCATGTTTATCAAGTATGTCACACAAGCGATAATGCAAATGATAACTTGGATGGCAAATATGTTCAACTCTCTGTATAAGAAAGCACTTTCGTCTATTCTTCGATCGGCTCTCGGTGTAATGCTGGTACTGACTTTCTGTGTGGATAAATTTTGCCGTGTGCCTTGCTTGAATTGCTTAGAGGCTTTTGCCAATGAAAGTGAATTTTGTTAATCCATGCAAATCAAATTACAAGTACCAAACAACCTGATACTGCCCTGCAATTATGTGTAACCATGATGTTTATCTCATCTATTTGTTGCTTAAACAATGTGGTTTTTAATAGGTTTTTTCTTTTTTCGATTTGATATGCACCTATTTTGTATGCTGTAAAGCGAATTATTTATCATCTTTGAAGGTAAGGATCATAATCGATAAATTCGGTGTAGCTGCTGTAAGGATGGCGTTTTATGATTCTAAACAAGTCAATGAACACATCATAGATGGCTATACCAAGGTGATCTGCACTAAGCTCTATACTGTTATTATTAATAGATGAATGCTTAGATGGCTGGTGTTGATTATTTTCTGTTGCCTTTAAGTAGTAGTGGTTAAATCTTGAATTTTTATGCAGCCACTGAGAACTAAGGGTTGGGATAAGGCTCTTGTAGAATTCACCGCAGCGATGCTTTTGAAAGGCGAGTCTGAAACGAAGCTCCCGCTGTCAAAAAGACTGCACGAAATCTCGTGCCCTGGTACTAATTTCTTGCTCTGTATTATAAATTTTGAATACAAAATCATCTTATTAGCCAATGGATTGACAAAAATGAATATCTAAATGCTACTGGTATCACAGATCTTATATTCTTTAGTCTGCTGTGTGGCTTTATTGTTGATATGCATAGGCAGAATGTAATGGTTCCACTCTTTACTGTCTCAATGAAACTTAGTTCTGATTGTCACGGGTGACACCGATCGAATCGTTCCTTCTTGGAATGCCGAGAGACTGTCACGAGCCATTCCTCACTCGAAGCTTGAAGTAATTAAGAATTGCGGCCACTTGCCCCACGAGGAAAAGGTCGACGAGTTTGTTGGAATCGTCGAGAAGTTTCTGCAAAGAGCTTTTGGTGGTTTGGAGGAGCATTTTCTACATGCAGTAACTTGAAATCCGTATGCTTCAGAATGTTCACTCACTCTCAGAGGACGAAAAGGTATAGTTCAAATAGACAAAAGAATAAAAAAATAAAGCGATGTTCTTGTAATAGAATTAGGACAACATCATGGATCTTACAATAAGACCATTGTTTTGTGTCGTAGAATAACAGCTTTCACAACCATGGTAGTATTTGAGACTTGTCATGATATAGAATGTGAACATTTTGTAAAATCCATTGGATAATTTTAACTCTCGATACCACAATTTCAAGTGATTACATGAGATGATTCCCGAGACATGAGAAATCGTAATTTTTAAAGCAAATTTATCATAAAAATATTTAGAAAAAATAACTTCAGTGACCAAAAATACCTTATAATATACGATTTTAACTAACTTTTTTTGGATTTGCCAAAATGACCAACTAAATCGCAATGCGATCGATAATTCACAACGCGATCTCCGGTATCGCAAATCAGTTTCCAGATTCGCAACGCGATTCTGACTATCGCATTGCGATTTCCCAAATTCGCGTTGCGATTTTCCTAATTCGCAATGCGATTACGTAATCGCAACGAGATTCTGACTATCGCAATACTGAATTTCAAATTCGCAACTCGATTTCTGAATTCGCAACAGGTTTTAATTTCGAAACACAAATGTTTTGGGTATATAAATACGCAGCAGCAGCAACTCATAACCTAAATCCCGAAATCGCAACTCATTCCATCTCTATCTATCACTTTCTCCGGCGACATCTTCCTATATCCAACGACATCCTTCCCCATCCGGCAACAGGTTTTAGTTTCGCAGTTCGTTTGTTTAGTAAATTAATTTACAATAATGAAATCATCTAATGTTGATCATGTTTGGATAGATTTGTGTTTTGGAAGGTCATGGGAGAATGTTCATGGTGTTTTACAATATATGCCTTTACCCATGAATCTTCAACTAAAACTGTCATTAAAAAAGTTAACTTATGAAACTCTAATGTTACGTGTTGCAAATAAATTGAATTTAGAGCCCCTAAGTGGATTTAGGCTATCTTATCAGAGAAATGGTAAAGTTTATTTGTTAACCGACAATGAAGATGTTGAACGATTCATTGCTTACATTAGTGTTTCAAGTGATGATGTTACATTGTATGTTGTTGAACCTAGAAGTAGTGAAGTTGGGTCAGTAGTGGGTAGTAATCAACTAAGTTTTTCAACCCCAGTTTATGGTGCTCAAAATTTAATGGTTCCACCACAATTTCATCACCAAGCAAATTTTGTTTCACCATATTTCCAATACCAAACACAATCTCAAAACCTACAACCTTTCCCTAATCCAAAACCCAATCAACTTTCAGCACCAAATTCCGGTTTTCGTATTGACCAGTTAGACGATGATGAGCCAACAAAAAAATTGTGAGTACTAGTCAGTATTTGAAATTTGATCTTGGTCAATACCCGGACTTTGATATTGGTCAATACTCGGATTTTGATGATTTTTCAGAAAAAGAAACAGAACCTGCGTGTAATGATTTTGTTATTGGTCAATACCCGAATTTTGATGATGAAACAGCCGTTGCCGAGGAAGATGTTGTTGATGATAATGAGGAGGAAGTTACGATTGTAAATGAACATGTTGAACATCCATTCTGTAATTCATATAACACTGAAGAAAAAGAAGAAGAAGAAGTCCCCAAAGAAAAGTCCCCGAAGAAAATGCCACGGGAGTATAACTGGAATATGCCAGAATTACTTCAGATACCGAAAGAAGAGTTGGTAAAGATAGCAGTTGATTGTCACACAAAAATTATTCGTATCAAGAAAGATGATTGTTTTGATACAAAGAAAGACTTGAAGATAGCTTTGTATACGAAATGTGTGGAAGATGGCTATCAACTAAAAGTTGACAAATCAAGTAAAGATCATTTCGAAACAAGGTGTATGATTGACAAAAACTGTATGTGGCGTATGATTGCAAAGAGGATAAAAGATTGCGAAATGTTTCAAGTTAGGACTTTTATTGATAAACATACATGTTCAAGAACCCAAGTTTTTCCTCACCATAGACAGGCAAACAAAAAGGTGTTTGGTGGTTTTCTGGCTGAGTTAATGTTTTTGAATGGTAGGGTATATCGGGGACATGAAATTATGACTGACATGAATGCTCGGTTCAAGATTAGTATCTCATATTCTCAAGCTTGGAGAGCCAAATGTTATGCCTTGGAATTGTTGAGGGGGTCGCTAGAAGCATCGTTTGCCCAACTGCCGGCTTATTGTCACAATTTAAAGCAGAAAAATCCTGGGTCGGTAACTCATATCAAAACAGATGGAGATGGACGCTTTGAGATGTTGTTTATCGCCATTGGTGCTGCGATTAGTAAATCAATATAATTTTGTTGACTCATTTTTGTTAGTTACATGCATTTGACATTTAAATTATTATATTTCTTGTGTATATGATTTTGTAGATTCGTTCGTTTATTAATTGTATGCGCCCAGTTATTATAGTTGACGGAGCACATTTAAAAGGTCGATACCTTGGAGTAAACTTATTAGCAGTAGCCATGGATGCTAACAATGGGATACTGCCAATAGCTAACGGGGTTGGAAAATCTGAAACCTCTGATTCATGGACATGGTTTATGGGGCATCTTAGGGATTGCATAGGTCCTATTAGCAATCTGACAATCATATTCGATAGGGCAAACTCAATTGACAACGCTGTTAGAAGGTGTTTCCCAGATGCTTTTCATGGACTTTGTGGTGTTCATTTGTATAGAAATCTAAAATCAAGGTCTGCTGGTATAAAAAATCACAAATGGACATACTGGAAGGCTGTAAAAGCTTATCGGGAAGTGGATTTTAATAAGCATATAAATTGTTTAAGATGTGTTTTGCCTCAGTGTGCTCAAACACTAGAAGATGTCGGGTTTGAAAGATGGTCAAGAGTACATCAACTTGGAGCAAGATATGGTTTCATGACGTCTAATAGTGCAGAATCAATCAACGCTCTAAGTCGCCATTCCCGGAAATTACCCATTACTATGTTAATGGAGTTTTTTCGAGCCTCTATTCAACAGTGGTACTACAAGAAAAGAAACCATGCAGGTATTATTTCTTTAAATTCATAACTTATCATATATTTTACTAAGTATTATTTATTTAAATTTACAGGAACATTGGAACATCGTGTTACACCATGGACAGAAAAAAAGATAACGAAACGTGTTGTGAAGTCAACGTCATGGAGAGTTGAACCATGTTCAAACACTTTGTTTGAAGTACTGGATAATAACTTAAATGAGCTTGTCGATCTAAATGCAAAGACGTGTAGTTGTATGAAATGGCAAACATCTGGTTATCCGTGTGGCCATGTTATAAAAGTTTCTTTTCATCTAAACCAAGATGATTCAAGCGCATACGCTATGGATTGCTACACTACAGAAGTATATCGACAGACTTATGGCAAGATTGTCTACCCTATTCCACATCCTTCTAAGTATGACATACCAGATGACTTACAAACAGTTTTGCCACCAGCCATGGACAGAAGGCTACCTGGCCGACCAAAAAGTCACGATCGTATACCGTCTAAGGGTGAAGAGAAGAAGAGATCGACATGTAGTCGGTGCAAGGAAAGTGGTCATACAAGGTTGACAAGTGGATCACCAGTGCCATCACAATCATCTTTTCCTCTACCAAAATATGGATTTTCATCAAAATCCAAAGCTCATATGGTGTCAAGCAAAAGGCAATCAAAATCGCAATCATCTTTAAAATCCCAATCACAATCGGCTTCACCTTTTGGGACTGTTAACTTAGGTGATTTTTAAATGCAAACGTTGTATTACGTGGATTTTATGTGTGAACTTTTAACATTTTCAGTTAGGCATGTATTAGTAACTTGAGTTTGAAAATTGCTATGATCTGTTCAGTTGTTATCACTTATTAGGCATTCATTTGACTATCGCAACACGGAAATGACGTTCGCAATCATCTTAATGTCTATCGCAACGCGGAAATGACTATCGCAATGCGAAATGAAAATCGCAACGAGAGAATCGCAACGCGAAATGAAAATCGCAACGGGAGAATTGCAATGCGAAATGAAAATCACAACGAGGGAATCGCAAAGCGAAATGAAAATCGTAACGCGAATTTAGTTTCGCGTTGCGATTTTGTCGTTGCGATTTTCATTTCGCGTTGCGATTCTCTCGTTGCGATTTTCATTTCGCATTGCGATAGTCATTTTTGCCTTCAACATAATGCAGATTGAAATCAACAAAATCAACCATTACATTTCAATCAATTAAACAAGCACAAATAAGAATTATGTTCACATCAATTAAACAAATCAACTTTTACAAATCATCTTTTACAAATCAATTAAACAATAAAAAAATAAGCAATAATTCTTATTTCCTCATCTACTATTGAATCAACTTTTGCAGCCATACATCATTTTCACGCAGCTCACTTCTGAGATTAACCTACAGAAACCAAACATTTGCTCAAACAACACTTTCTACACATCTAAAACCTACAAACATCAAATTATTGAATTCTAGGTACTTAACCAAACATTTTCAAACCACAAGCCTATAAACTTACCAATTGTTTATAGACATTTTTATAACGCGGATGCAGGTAGGCAGCGTCTCGTATATATCGATCTAGCCATATAATGTCGAAACCACAAGCCTACTGCAGCTCTATCTCTATCGGTGGGAGGTAGATACTTTATACTTCCTATGATCAAACGCTCCAACGCCAAGCATACGAGAGGACCACAATCCCCTTTGGGTCCTTTCGTTTGTTGTGGTGCGGTCTCGTCTCTGCTAACTGTAATATTGAGCTTCTTTGGCTTCTTGTTTCCAGAACGAGTCCAATAATTTATCGCATCCAAGAATTTAGCCAAATGAGAGCTCTATCCCTTAATAATATCTCTTAAATCAGCCAATGATATGTAATTTATCATACTGTCATATACTATTGCCTTAAGGGATGGGAGCTGAAGCTCGACGAGAAGCCAATGTTTACGTTCCAAAACAGGGATAAACACCTACAATCATAAGTAATAATTCATTCATTTGTGCACTAATTTATGAATACCTTTAAACTCAATCTAAAATAAATACTAACCTTATCGACCTCCCACCATGCAGGATAAAGTTTAGCTTGTCCATT